TGTTTGTTGTTGGCTGTTAAATTGTAAGAGCTAGCTCCCCTGATACATTTCAATCTGATTTGTACTCCCTGATTGGAAGGATATTGTTACTGTTACCCACATTTATTTTATGTGTAATTGATTTATTTTTTGCATTTTCTTCATTTATAAAAAGAGCCCTTCTAATACTCTAGCTTCAGTTCAGAAAAGTGTCCTTAACTCGTAAACGATACTTTAAATTGTGTTTTAAGTGTTTGCATACAGGTGGCCCTTTAAGGCATTTACTGACAGTTCCCCGTTTTCATTTTTCATTATTTTTTAACGGGAACATTTACTTTAATCCGTTTTCGTTTTTACCTAAATGAAAGTTTCAAAATCTTGTGAGTTTATTTGTTTGTTTGTTTTGTTGTTTGTTTTTTCCCAAAAAACTTTTGACAAATAGACTGCTTTTTGAGTTTATTACATTTCGCAAAAATGCGGCGCCGGTCCAATTGGACCCCTTTATCTTTTTATGTTCATTTTTGTCAAGTAAGATTGAAAAGACCATAGTACAATATAAAGAATTATTTATAACCATTTGTCAAGTAATAGATTAAAGACCATAGTTCAATATTAGAATTTATTACAGCTGATTTTACCTTAGGGTATTTTCCTCATTGTGAGAATCAATTGTTATAGACCTACAAATATTTCTATTGGACAATTGATTAAACTGCTGAATAATTCAATCTGCATATTTACCTTTCTGATTGATTTATCTGACACAAACTGATAAATTTCCCCCTGTTCTCAATCATTATTGACAGCAACTTATTTATTTTCAAAATCATTTCCGTGTTGTTTCTCAACGATTCCAACGGTGTTTTCTATTGGTTATTTTCAATGTTTTGATATCTGCGTTATTTTAAAGAGGTTAATGTGCTATTGACATTGATAAATATATCTGAACTTATGCAAGAAGGAACACTTTTCCCATACGTCAATCAACACCGTTATCAAAGAGAAAGAGGGGAAATCCAAATTTAACCCTTTAATCATTAATAGAAAAAAATAAATTCAATAATTCTTTCAGTTTTAAAAAGGTTTTATAACCAACTTTAAAAGGGAATTTCGTTTTCCCGCAGAAATGTTTCGTTTGTAACATGAATTTAATTTCTTAGCTGAAACACATTAAATTGCGAAATCATTAAAAAATAATGTAAAAATAGATGACATCATATCAAAAATATTTCAAACTACGCAAATTTTAAAACTACGCAAGCAATTGTGCATTTACGGAGAAGAAACATTAGATTAACGAATCACGCGCGCCATTATTGCAAGTGTATTATTTTGATATGCGTGACTCAGGGTGGATGTTTAAATAGCTTTAATGCAATGACGGTCTTTGGTAATTTAGTATAAAAACAAACTGTCAAAGAGCATCGCAACAGTACATGGAAAGCAACCAACGTCTTTTATACTAAATACAGATAATGAAATTAAGGACGTAAAGTTTTATGCGATAATAGAGATAGTGTGCACCAATTTTCGTGCTTAAACATCTGCAGATGCCCTCGGGCTTACATGTATTTAATCTGCAAGATGTTAATGCGCGAGATAAAAAGGACGCTTTGTTGTGAACTTTCAATAATTTTAATAAAGAAATCTCCATTGCCCTGATTTTCATGTACTAGTTTAACCATTGAAATGACAAAAAAACATATTAATAAATAGGAATGATTGGACATTACTCTTGTATATTGTACACAGTTAATTGTGCGATAACCCTCTATTATAAGCAGGATTTTATTTAGACTTGTAAAAAGTTATTTACAAATTATTCGCTTTGAAAACATGTCTATATCAATTCATAATTCTGGCTTACACCTTTAAATTTAAAGGAAGTATTGGTAATTTTTACAAATTAGAAATCCAAAAAACATACAAGGAAAAGTCGTGAATTTTTATCATTATCACATAGGTAAAAAAGATTACATAATACTTTTTTAAGTTATCATTTTTTGCTCTGACTTTAGAGAAGTGAAACCCCCACTTGCTTTATTCATATCGAATCCTGCAGAGCTATCAGAATGGCGTGTTTCAGAAGTTCAAAATTAATTTCAGTTTTAACATACTGTTGTTAATGCAGCTTGTGTATGTTGCTAACAGCAGTTTACTACCGTGGAGGAACTATAAGCTGGACAGCAAACAACACAACTGATGTAAGGTTTGGTCTCGGGTTCGAGAATTAAAAAAGCATTTTTTCTTGTTGGCAAATATTTGATTTCATAAGTTATTGGAATATTTATTTTGTGCATGAAAACGATATGATCATCAAAATATTGATAAGAGTTCTTTTATTTTATTTATTTATTTATTTATTTATTTATTTATTTATTTATTTATTTATTTATTTATTTATTTATTTATTTATTTATAAATGATACTTTGAATTATTACACTTTTTCTTATGCCACTTCATAATTATATTTTTAAAAAGCAAATAAAGAAGGAATTGAACAATTCAAAAACAAATGTATAGAAGAAAAAGACAAATCTATACGATTTTTTTTCTTTCTTTTTTTTAATTTAATATTATCTTTATTTTTCATTTATTTTTTTTATTATTTTTGTTTGTTACTTTTGAAAAAAAAAAGAAATTTGTTTGTTTCAGATCATCGTATTGGTATTATTTTTATTATTTCTATAAATTGCTTTTGAAATTCTGCTTTTTTATTTTAGTTATTTTTAAGACCATCATTTTATTATTAAAGGCGTTTCCGATCAGTTTAAATTATATCGCTGAAAGTGTTTCCTGAACTGTTGTGTTCGAAACACACATGGTGATTTTAAAAAACTTAGATTTTAATCCATAAAAATATTATCTATTTAAGATAAAATTTCACATCCGGATGTCATGGAAATATGCAGTAATTGGCTGTTTTGGAAATACAAGTTCCGGAAGTTACGTGTCTTCACTGTCGGGGGACAAGTGGCGATGTTCTACCGGATGTGTCGGGACACCAACGATTGGGGACAATAGCTACTATTGAGTATAAATGCAAATTCGACTGAAGGAGCTGGGAGCTCGGGGAGAAGAAATTGATATCAACACGAATGCAATTTCCAATAACAAATTGCTGATAACGTAAGAATTTATTTCTATTTTTAGAAGAAAGAAGAAAAACTTTTAGAATAGAATTTATTACAGTTCATTTACATCAAAATTATCTAAATTTTGTTAGTAGATCTTACGATTTATGTCCAAAAAATGTTTGTTCGTTTTTTGTTTTGTTTTTTTTAATCATTATTTGTATTTTTTGTTAATTTATTTTTTTTTTTCAAAAGCCTTTTTAATTTATCGACAAAAAAAAAGGTTCTCGGCCTTACGGCCTTGATAATTGTTTGGTGTTTCATACCATGAAAGTCAAAATACAACTTTTGTTTACATTATGCTACTTTTCTGATTAACAATATCACAATCAGCGCCCCCTTTATTATTGGCGATAAGTATCTTGCAAGCTCTTAAGCAATTATCTTAATTTTATAAAAAAAAAACACTCATGTTTGCCTTTCCTGCAGAAACAAATATGTATTCATGTCTGAGGGATACTGTTCCTTTATTCTACAATAACGTGGAGATACGTGTACCGGGTCAACAAATAAAACGGTATGAATACGCGAGGAATGATCAATATATAACCATAAAACTATAGAAAAGGGGTATTTTTAATTTACCCCTTTTATAAAAAAATTTGTTTTAGGGGTAAAAAGGGAAATTTTAACCTTTCCCCTAATATGACCTGATGCTGAAAATTTCACATTTAAATTTGATTTTTTATGTTATTATTTTATATTTATTTTACATTGTTAATTTAATTTTAAAGTTTTAAAAATGAAAAATGTTCGCATTTAAATTAAATATCCTGAAGATATTTTTACGCAAAAAAATCAAAGTTTTTTTTTAAGGGGGGATTAAACTTTTTTATTTTTCAATTTTTTTTTATTTTGTCAAAATTTTTCTCACTTATTTCTTTTTTTTTTTAGAATTTTTTAAACCCGGGAGTTGGATGTCCCCCTTGGTTTCGGGCCGGGGGGGGAAACTGGAAATTAGAGACCCCAAGTAAAAATTTAGAACGCGGAAATGATAGGGCGCCCCCCAAAAAACAAACCCCCATTTAAACCTTTTACATTCCTATTTATAAGTAAGTTTACAAAATCAAATAAATTTAATTTATTAACTTTAGGGAAAAAAACTTTTTTTTTAATATTTGCTCTGGTTTTTCAAAATTTAAAAAAATGAAAAATTTTTTTTCTAAAAAATGGATATAATTTAAATTTTTTAAAAAAAATTGGGCCCCCCAAAAGGGGTGGGGGTTTACAATAAAATTTTTTCCCATTTATGAAATTTATTTGGGGAACCACAAAAAGTTTGTTTTGGGGTTTTTAACCCGGGGAATTGCGGTGATATGTGTTGACAATGGGCCAAAAGAAAACCCCTTGGGCCCCCGAAAGGGAAAACTAACACAATTGTGTAGATTAAAATTTTAAAAATATATCAACGGTTGTCTAAATTTAAAAAAATTTACAGTACTGTAGGCCTCCCCATTTATTTAGATATATATCTTTTAAAAAGCTTTTTTTCAAACTAAAAAGCGAGAAAGAGGAAAATCTAGATATGCTTCTGAATAAATATTCTGTACAAAAATATACCCTAGAACCAATAGTATCTCTGAAAGATAAATATCATATTTTTTAAAAGTTTGGATAATGTATTCATAAGAAGAAATATATTGTGATCATTTTGTCGCACTAACAACATTTGGGTGATAAGCAGTTTTAAGAATTACTGTATATTATGCTTGTATAATGCGCAATTATTCAGAGCCATTTGAAAATTGTAACTTAATTGACAAAAGGTTTAGAATATTGTCATATAGGCTTATAAAATGACTTTTCATTAATGATCTGAAACTTGCGCAAGTTTCTTCACTAAATATCATGTATAGTAATACTATTTATTTCATGAATATTTTCAGCAACCGTGTACATTAACAATAGATGCTAAAACAGTTAATGGATACACGGCGGGCTCGTACTATCTTGTTGCTTTAACCATAGAGGACTTCCCAAAATCTTCAATATCTCTAGACAATGTGTCTGTGCCAACCACACAACCCTTAAGTTCCATCCCACTTCAGGTAAGCTGAAATAAATCTTGTATAATGCCTTTAGCAAATAAGAACAGAAAATGTATTAATCTATGCATTAGATGTACGTTAAACTTTTAGCAAAAAAGAACAGAAAATGCATTAATCTATGCATTTGATGTACGTTAAACGTTTTCATAATCAAAATTATCAAAACGTAAGTGTCAGCTTTTGTCATCTACGGTAAACATTAAACTTCAAAATTAACAATTCATCATATTGCTCATGTTAATTTTATCAAACGTCTATTGAATGAATGAATAAATAAATGAATAAATGAATGAATGAATGAATAAATGAACGGACGGGCGGACGGACGGACGAACGAACGAAGAACGAATGAATAGATGAAATTTGTTTTACGACACAAAACGATCATATCTCGCTTAAATTAAAACAAGAAATTAACTCAAGATGACATACGTCATTTGATATTATTATAAGTATTTTTTAATTTACATATCAATAGTTTTTGGTGTTTGTGGAAAATGTAACAACGACTTGTATCAGTAGCCCGGTATTTACTGGAATACCATCTGACGGTCAGGAGTTTATTGTACCAACGGCTAGTTCTTGGCTACAAAGAGTTTATGTACAGGCCACAAGGTAATATTTATTTATGTATCTATTTATTTATTTATTTATTAAGTCGCTGAGAGACAAACGGGATAATTGTTAATATATAGACGTCATAGTTTTTGCGTTGACATAAGTTTTTTTTATATTTCTTCCATTACTGTATTTATTAAGTAAAAAAATACATCACAACATTGATTTTACTACAAGGTAGCTCGCTACTTTCCGACCGAAATATGACAATATGTCAGATCTTGATGATTTTTAGTATGCAAACATATAAATATGTAAGCTTTACTTCTGCAGCATTATTTTATAAATAAACAGCGTTACTATGACGTCAAAGCGCCCTCTATCGGTGGCGGCGAAATTGCGTCTTTTTTATCAATAAACCGGTCTGTTCTTATTAATTTTCATCCGATTTCCTTCATTTTAATTTTATAATGTTCAGTAAATGTATGTCTTTGTAACGATGTCTTTCTTGAACATTTGCTTAATACTCTGCGATTCTACGTTATTTTCCCTCACGTTCTGACGTCCATATTTGATGCAAATATCGCGCGATATCGCAATAAAGATTGTGAAATAATAAAAAATCAACACGGTGAATTTTGCTATAATTTTTTTAACATGTAGTGAAGTTATAAAAGAAAATATTTATGCAATAAAAATATAGGGTCAACGCGTAAGATATTTTGCTATTACTATTTGAATATAAAATTAAGGGTGAGTAAAACGTAATGATTTTGGTGACGTCAAATATTTTTCTCAAGGAAATATCATACTGACAGGAATAAAAATGTGTGAAAACCATCAACAACAATAGTATTTAGACATGTTCCGTAAAAATCCTGTCAGATGCCTGCATTTTGATGAATATCTTCAATTATATACATGTACAACAAATCAGGGTATAACTGTCTGCAAAAGTTGGTACCAATCGCTGAAAAAGTGCAACGAATGGATATAAATACCTCGAGGACTGAAAGACAATTTAGAATATTGAAAAATATAATTAAAAGGCCGGCTAAGTGGAAATTATAAAAACATAATCATGTTATGTGTATGTCGTACAACATAAACTTCCATGTTATCATATGTAACAATTTTGAATTGTATATATCGGTTAGTAGGAACAGTGACATCGATAACATCTATGTCTCTGGTAGGAAATGAATCAAATTTACGTTTCAAAAATATATGATCAACTGGAAGTAGTAACGAATTGTACGTAAGTCATGATTCACTGGTAGTCTTAATTATATTATAAAATCTAGCAGACATTTAATTCAAAAATTTTCTACACGAATAAAAATTCATGTATTAACAGCCATCAATTATTCTATTTTACTCTCGCAGCTAAATACCCTGCACTAAGCGTGAGACTCAGTTTTAAAGCATGAATCACGCTCTCGTGCTATGGCTTTAATTTCTCACGTATTTCACGTAATTACAGATATTCTTATTTATTTTAAACTAGCTGACTCGCGGTATGCGTTTACTAGCGCATTTTTGAGGCGACCTGAAGCCGCGATCTTTTCTCGATTAGAGGCGAAAGATCCGTTGATTTATTTTGTATGTTCAGAAGCGGAGAATTTTGCATATAAATACAGATTCCCTTGTATTGGAGGCGATTATGTAGGATTCTCAATTTGTGTGAATTTGGTTGTGGGAGAAGCTCGTTTTTTGTCTGCACATAATGCAGTGCTATGTAGAGCCTATGAAAATAATGAACTATGCATTTTATGTTTTATATCTTCTTATTTTTTAATATTGGGTTAAACGCCGCTTTCAACAGTATTTCAATTATAGCGGAGAGAATTTAACGAAACCAGTGTTTCTCACAGTATCAACTTCTCTTTGGAAATGAATGACAGGAGTCCGAGGTGGACCTTGAAACATTTCATACACAGTAAACAATTCTTAAGGATAATCTATAAGTACAATACGCAATCGTGTCTCGAATCCATGCCTTCCGAATTCAGCGTAAGACCACTTATCGATTACACCATGGCAACAGAATAATATTCAAAGTTAAAAACCTGATTATGATCTCCACTTGAAGTCCACCATAAACACGTGTTTTTGGTGTGTGTTTTGAGGTGTTTTTCTTTTTAAGCAAACTGTTTTGTATTAAAAAATGAACAAGATAACATCAACATAATACATTATTCATATTCAGTTGTTTAATAATTATATTTTGTATTTTATTAAAATATAAAGTATAACCTTTACAGAGGAATGCCCTTTGTTGCCTAGAGTAGTTGCTCTACAGAGGTAAAATAAAGTGGAACTCTTAAGAAATAAATAATACTTTGAGGGCCGCTATGTTATACTGTAATAAAAAAGCGGTAATGAATCCGAGTTGAGTAATGGTTATATCGGATGTTTCACATTCGAGTCTGCAGTTGCGAATATGCTTATATATTTTTTTATTTAGTATGATTTTGCTTCCAAAATAGTTTATAGTTTGTCACATAAGTGCTCATTTTCTAATTATCATGACATTTTAATTAGATTATAGTTACATAATATATGTATTGCATAGACTTAAAAATGGTAAGCAAAAATAAAAATGAAATAAAGGTTTTTGTTTCTTGTACAGTTTGTTTTTAAATGTTCTTAAAGGGACTCCACTGAGGTTGAAAAGCCAAACACATAACATTTGAATTTCTTACATAACAGAGCTGGGGCACTTTAAACAGAAATATATGCGAAGATAGTTAAGAAACATACTTTGAAATAAATTGAAAAACGTATTTTTATGCCTTTGTTAGCCCGATTTGGGTGAAAAGCGTTTAAACGCTTTTCATTTTGAATAATTATTCTGGAAAAACGGAGTGCGTGAATGCTCTGCAATTTTGCACAAAGATTAATGGTCTAAACCTACATCAAATGGTACATTTATCTGGAAAAAATATTTTCAGTTCCATCATGTCAAAAAACCTCAGTGGAGTCCCTTTAACATATTTGAATATTATTTCTGAATTTTATTTATCACTTATTTCGGCACATTTGTATGCATATCTATTTTAATTGTATTTTTACGATGTGTTTTGTCATCGAGGCTCGTCTGCCTTTATGTGATTTTATAAGAGGCTGAATGTAACGTAAAATAAATATTCTACGGGTATAAGCTAAGCGACCTAATATTCTTACTTCATTCATACAGCAATATGTGAATCTTATTTTTTGCGCTGAAACTAGTTAATTCATATAATAATGTAACACTTTAACAACATTACATTATAAAATTAGAATTAAAAGATGTATGAGACTGTGTCCTGCAAATTAGGAAAGTATTTAAAAAGGGATTGTCGGATTAAACATTGTAAATGTGCTCATCTAGCGCATGCTTTCAATGAGAAAATAATCAACATTTTAAAAAATATACATTTCATCAAGTCCCTGTGTTGTTTATACTTACTATCGTAATGTTTGACGTAAGAAAATTGTTAGTTTGGTATTATTCTTTAAACTCCAACATCTATTAACGTCATCAAAATCATTACGTTTCACTCACCCTTTATTTTATTTTCAAACAGTAATAGCAAAATATCTTACGCGTTGACCCTATATTTTTATTGCATAAATATTTTCCTTCACTATCTCACTACACGCCAGGAAAATTATAGCAAAATTCACCGTGTTGAATTTTTTTTATTACACAATCTTTATTGCGATATCGCGCGATATTTGCATCAAATATGGACGTCAGAACGTAGAGAAAAATGACGTCAATTCGCAGACTATTAAGTAAATGTTAAAGAAAGACATCATTACAAAGACATACATTTACTGAACATTATAAAACTAAAATGAATGAAATCGGATGAAAATTGATAAGAACAGACCGGTTTATTGATTAAAAAGACGCAATTTCACCGCCACCGATAGAGGGCGCTTTGACGTCATAGTAACGCTGTTTATTTATAAAATAATACTGCAGAAGTAAAGCTCACATATTTATATGTTTGCATACCAAAAATCATCAAGATCTGAGATGTTGTCATATTTCGGTCGGAAAGTAGCGAGCTACCTTAAGTGACGTACAATGCATTAAACAAATACATTAATCAATACGTTATAAAGAATGTGCGTTAAAATGAAAACTTGCTAACCTATTAAGCATTTTGTTAGGCAAAATAATAAGCAGCCAATGGAAGTATTGACTCATGAGTATATAATGTATTCAGTACACGCACTAACACTGCACTTGTTGAGTAATGTTTTTGTTTGAACTTTTTAAAACAATTATTTGATAACGGAGTAATACATTATTTCAGCGGTAGCATGCCGTCAGCTATGAGATTATCTGGACCACAGGGATTGACTGTTTCAGCGTTGCAGCCAGACGATTTAGGAAGACCTTCCGTTATGTATGCAGATTTAAGCTGGACACCCACACCGCCTATGAATGGCATTAACATGGTGTGTTTTATTGCCGAGGATGATGCGGGGTAAATTAATTGATTTATATGCGTATTACAAAAAAAAGAAGTGATTGACTTAAATGTGTGTATAAAATTAGAGATATACTATCGAGACTGTAATTATAAAAAAAATGCTTCGAAATTTGAATAGCTTGTTTCACATACAGTGAACGGTCATCTTTCCTATCGTTTGATTCAGATCATTCTTCTATATTGGTTTTATTCCGATTTACTCATTTGCATAAAATGATTAAAAATGAATAGAATTCTAAGTATGTTGTATTATATTATATACACCATTTATCTGATTTTATAAATATTTAACCAAAAGCTAATTACACCTTGCGTTTTGACGGGTTAAATATAGCTTTACACCTTTAAATCATTTAAAGAAAGGTAGGCGTTATGATCTTTAAATAAGGTAAATATGTAAATATTTACATTTTGATATGACACAGTTTTATCGTTTCTTTATTTATTTACAGAAGGCAATCCGAGCAGAGGTGTTTTGTACTTTTAACTGGTTGTAAGTACAATTTCTATATTTGTAGACGTTTTGTAATTGTTAACACTTAAAAATTAAACTTGAAAATTAAACTATTTTAACAAATTCATGATTAAATGAACATCGAATGCTTTCATTTGTTCTTTTTAATTTTGAACACGCAACATTCATTGGCGGATATAAAAAATATAAATATGGATATGGAATTGATTGTTTGTAGATCCTGACCCATGCTCGAGCAACCCGTGCACAAATGGAGGTCAGTGTGACATATCATTTACGAACTTCACCTGTACTTGTCCGAAAGGAGTTTATGGAACGCTCTGTGAACACGGTATATGTTTAGAAGTATTTGTTTGTTTATATCATAGTTAGTATATTACGTACAATGTACATAAAAAGTGTCTGTCTAAGTAGGTATTTTGCAAGATGATATATCAATTGATTCCTTTTTAAGTACTCGAAATCATGTAGCTTCTGCGAACTCTTTTCAACAAATGTGTTTTAATCACGCCTTAGTTTCTGTTACATTTTTTCACAATAAACCTAACCTTATTCTGATTATTTAAAGAGAATGTGTTAATTGGTATTGTCTTTTAACATAATAAGCATGTATTTCTCTATCTTTAGTTATTTAAGTAAACAGTAAAAGTATCTCTCGGCTTTCAGTATTTTTTGAAATATCACAAGCTCGCTGAATAAATCGCTTTCAAAGACTCGATTAATTTAACCTTTTTTTTAATAAAAAAGCAGCTTTACTAAAAAAAATTTAATGACTTAGATATTGATGAATGTAAACAAGTGCCTTGTGAAAATGGAGGACAGTGCTTCAACAGAATTGGTAATTACACGTGCTTCTGTCGACCTGGTTTTGCTGGAAAGAATTGCTCAGGTATAAAATTATGCAATTTTCAGTCTGACTGTTTAGAACTACTTAAGTTATTTCGTGCATGTAGATCTGATTGCCAGCGTACATTGTATTTGTTTCGTCTTCTTTATGATTTGGAATTTCTAGGAACCCATGCTTCCAAACCGTCCTTTACAGATTGGCATTTAACGCACTATCAAAATATCGCTGTCCGTGGAAGTAAAACACTTTTTAAAACAATTTTTTTAAAACTATTTTGAAACATATAAACTGGAAATAATAGACTCAGTTTTTAATCGGCAATCGCTTTCTAAACTGCTACAGGTCGCCGATGATTAGCTTTTTAAAAGGTCACGAGAAGATGACCTCCTATTTGTGTCCGCCAGATCCTTCTAAGTGGCGTTAATTGGGAGCTGATTTTAATCATATATTGTAATTTTCAGTTTTATACCAAAAAGTATTTATCGAGCTTAATTTAAAATGATTTAGTAGGAAACCTAAATCATACTAGACTTTTGATTACCTCATGTGTGGAAGCTATTCAACCAGCTTACGGAACGTCAGTTGTTCTACTCAGGTGTCTATTCGTCCTTGAAAAAATGAATTGAGAAGCATGTAGGGTGAGGTCCTTCACCATCTGTAAAGCTAGAAGTCACCATATAATCTTTTCAGCGCTGGTGAGAAGTAAACCCCAATAAAAAAGATAGAACAATAATTAAAACTGCAGTACTTCCGAGACATGCTCTTGAAAACCTTATGCATTTTTTAGAATTGTAGCATTTTGGCAAAAAATATACGACGTTATTTACATGGTTATTAACTTGGAACACTATAAGTGTTTTAGAAACGTCTATAACATTTTTCAGTAATATCACATGTTGGTGAGAATCGTACTATGACTAGATAAAACATATTTTCTAAAACACCTACTTTTGTAACCTTTATCCGATTTTAGACTCAGACTATTGTTCATCGAATCCATGTCAAGGTCAAGGTGATTGTGTACATAATACGACGTTATCGTCGTTCTCGTGTGACTGTTACCATGGATACAGCGGTAAAACTTGTCAAATAGGTAGGACATAATTTGTATCTTCTTTTATATTGTGAATTACTTGTAATTGTTATTTCTTGTTAGTTTCTCTCATGAACAGACTCAATCAAACCGAGTCTGCAATGTTCATGTAATATTTGAAATTCTACATTATGGTTTTAATCGCTGTAAGACAAGCTGTTGTCCCGTACTTCAGTTCATTATAATTGATATATTTTGCTGGTTTTGCGTATTCCTTTTTAACAGCAGGTTACTGTTGAATATTGAACACCGCTTAAGTCTGTGTCAGGGGGTGTAATAGATGTTGAACATTATTTCTCGTGAACAGACTCAGTCAAACCGAGTCCACGATTTTCATATATGTCTGAATGTGAGGAAGTCAACTCATCAACTTTATATACATGTAAATTAAAACGAGTAACATTATTCAAACTTCGTGGACTATGTGCAAATTTGTATTTTGATTTGTTAAATTTTGTTTCCGATAGATGAAGACGATTGCACGAGTAACCCGTGCATGAACGATGGTGAATGTATTGACCTGGTTGGAGGCTTCAACTGTGAATGCCCCCCACAATATACAGGACAACATTGTGAAGACGGTACCAATATATACTTCTTCATTGTTTCCCCCTCTGCTATTCCCTCAGTTTTTTTCTCTATTTTATTTAAGTAAATGGGGAGCAGTGACGTTTCCATGGCAGGAAACCATACTTTCCTTGAAAGCTATTGTTTAGCGACCCTTTATAATTTCAGAGAAACATACTATCCTCGAGTTAAGACTTAAAACAAAACTGGTGTAACATTATTTATCGTAGATCGTAGCAGTTGTGATAATTTATTAGCAAGTTTTTAGATTTGTCAAATTAAGATCTCAGACATTCGCAAATAGCATAGCACGGATTAAATTGTTAAAAAACTGATGTAAAGAATTTATTTTAGGATGGGTCAAACATAACTATATTCCAGTTTTATGCATTTTTCAGAAATTGACTTCTGTGATCCGAATCCATGTCAAAATGGTGGCGTATGCCGGAGGTTGAAAAATGACTATGTATGCGACTGTCCGGATGACGTCATAGGTCTTAACTGTGAAATTTCTATTGAGCAGGTAATTCAATTTTCTATGGGAACAGATTTGTTCATTAGATTTAAATGGCCACTTGAAAATATCACTGAAATATCACTTGTCTTAAAGTGTATTATCAAAAATATGAAGCTACCTTACGGAACAGTAGTGGTTCTACTCACTCAAGTGATGCCATTTGTGCCTGAAATAATGCACAGGGGAGCATCTAAGGTCTTCCTCCACCAATACAACTGAAAATTCGACATATGATCAATACTTATTTTTGTGCGATGTAAAAACAACCAAACGATATATATACACACAAATGGACCTCCATTGCAAATGAGATTTAGTTGCTAACTTCGAACTGAATGACACTCAAATCTTACATTGGATTGTTGCTGTATGTGAACAAGCAATGCAAAAAGCTTACCATTAAGTCTCGGTGGTCTCCCTTTGCGTCCGCTTCTATCCAAATTGTACCATAGATACGGTAAAAATAAACTTTACATTGTCACTCTGACAACGATTTAAGAAGCTAAAAAATCACAGAATGTTACTTATAAGTTCAGTGGAAGTAACTTAAAAGTTTTCAAAATGGTAAAAGATAGTTTTCATTTTTCTTTTGTTACAGATGTGTAATGGCGACAAATCTTACTGCACATGTCACGTAAATGGCGAACCTGTCCGTGTTCCTATACCAGATCCCGTTAATGACGAGACTTATGAACGTGATTTGAGATCAGGTACGATTGTGTACACATGATCATAATTGTTTAAAGAACAAGAATTTATATTGTTCTTTTACTTATTAATTGTTTTGTTGTTGTTGCTTTAAATATTGTATTCTTAGTACAAATTATGCTTACTTTTCTTTTAATGGTATGTTCAATACTCGATCTATAACCGATAATTGTGATGTTAAGATTATACAAGGAAACATATTTTCCTGTCACCGGGAATCATTTTAAAATGCCCTTTCCGTCTAAACTTAATGTGTTGTTTTTCATATTAAAAGTTAATGCCATTTTATTTGCAGGCGTTATTGGTTACCCAGTTGGCCTGCTTATCGGTATTGGCTGTTGTGCCCTGTTCCATTACGCTGTTCGTCCTCGATGCATAAAGAACGCTGGTCCTAAAAGAAGGAAAATGTCGTCTGCTAATTCTCTTTCATCATCAAGATCAACAGTTTATCCTGCAAGAATGACTCCACCTCCGCGTTATTCTACCCTGGATCTCGTTGCTGAATCAAATATTTGAATTTCTTGATAAACATGATAAAGTTCTACAGACATTTAGATATGTATGGCTAATTGTAACATGGGGCATACATCTCCTTATCAAGAGTGAAAAAATAGAATGTTTTGCGAAATACATTAATAACAAATTACTCAGACAACAAGATTTTTTTTATTGATTTTGATAATTACCTGTAAAGAGTTATTTTTTTAATTGGGGGGGGGGGGCGTAGGGGAAGGGAAGTGTTTGAAACGGTGTGGGAATGTGAAAATCGAATATTCAAAAGAAATTTTGAGACATGTTTATTTGTCTGTCTATTCATGATCATGGCATACATTAAAAAAGAAACATTGTCTATAAAAACTTCTCTGAAATTCTTATCATAACATCGCGGTCGATGAGACGTTGAAAATATTGATGAGCTGTTTATGAATTTTGTAGAATTTGCAAACGAGAAGAACAATAATAAATGTTAATTTGTATCAAAATTATTATCTGCATTATCTCCCTTTACATACCATCATACTGCATTATTTATGAAATGGACTAGTCCGGATTAAAAATTCGAGACTGTCCCATTGTTTTCTTGAGGGATTTCATTGTTAAAAGATAACATGTAATGAGGCATTTTGGGCATTTTTGTTATCGAAGACAACAGTACGGCTATTGACAGGTTATATTGCTGTTTTATAAACGGTCATTTGCTGTATAACCTTTTAACTATTTATATTTTGTGACTTGTCACGAGTTATTCTTATTCACCTATTTAGGTCATTATTGCTGTTTAATTTTTAGAGTTTTTATCAATTGTTTATGTACTCCTCTATGTATATAGAAAAGCTATGTAGACTAGAGTATAAGTTTTGTAAATAACTATGTACATATTCTTTTACATCTACTATATTCATTATTAAATGCTTGATATTATTCAATATTATATTTATTCTATTTAAAGAGTCCTATATTAAAATAAAATACTTTTAAATATAGTTTTTGGGTTTCTTATTTATGAAAGCCAAACACAGAACAAAACAGAATGTGTAAACTTGGTGAGGCATGGTTCAGGCGGTAACTATTGTTTGGCAGTAGTACATGCACTGCGCATGTCCAGTGTCGGTGATCCATAAAACTATGGACCAGGATACACCGCAATTATGGTGAGTATTCGACAGGTTCGTTATGTAATTGTAATCTAACCACGTCCTTGCAATGTTTAGTCGTATCTGTGTGACTTTAGTAAACGTCCGAACGCTGTCTTTACTGTATAACTCAGTAAAACTTATTTTTAGTAAGTAAATAATTTTTCATACTGAAAAAATGACTTAACCTTAATTTGTGGAATTTGTTTTATGGATTTGATCGGCCTAGAATTAAAAAAAAAAAACATGTCCATTTAGAGTAATAGGGAATGGAAGTTTAAAAAAAATGCTTTATGAATCGACAGTATAGAACCTGGTTGGGATGCTAGCTGCAAAGACATCAGTTTGGGATCCGGAATTTTAAGTAGTGTATGTGGTTTACTCAGTAATTTTGAAAAATACCTGTACAATCACTGACTTTCGGAGTTTTGATAAAAGGTGTCGTGAAGTCTCCCATGAAATACGTGTGCAATGTTTGCATTACTACATGTACATAAAAGTATAGATACAATGCATATAATTTATCTCTAAATAAGCGATGGTGAACCGAAAATGTAGATAAGCTCATCCTACGACATAATATAATGTTATGATTCATCATGCCCGATGTTCCTCATAATTGTACGGAATTCTTTATGGGACATATTGGCGACGAAACGAAATGGCACTTATCTCATTTTAAAACATTACCTGCAGGTTTAGGAGACAACAACACAAGATGTAAAGATTTTTGCATGTAACTGTTTAATATGCGTTACATGGTTGGCATTGGACGTTGGGCATTATGTGTAATTAACAAAATAGATACATATTTAAAATGATTTTATCAAAATGATTGATTGTTTTCTTTATGATAAAATATGTTCTCCTAGCAATGATGATATTTATCATTTGAACTAAACAATATTTGTTATCATCAAATCAAACAATTTGAAAAAAAAAAGAAATAAACAAATACTCCGTTTTGTTATCTTTTCAATACCAACATTTTTTTTTGGTCTTAGACTACAGGTATTTACATTTTTTGTTATTTGACGCAGAGATAAAGATTTTCTTTTCATGTTAATATTTTATTTTGATCTCTTAAATCATGTTTTTTTAATATCATTTGAAATGCAACTGTTTTTTATCGTGTAAAATGGGTAATTCCATTCAATAAAATATACTGATAAAAATATAAATAGAAAAATGCGGATATATTATCAAATGATACAAGGTTGTTTTCAAATCTTGCAAAATCGTTTCTTAAAACACTTTAATTCTCTGGAAAATAAATATTTCCCAGGGAAAAACAGATTCGAATGAAGTCATTAAAATCCGACGAGTAAACTTTCTGTCTTCACCACGCTTAGTAAGCCATGTATTAATCTTACGCTACCGGAAGTGCTTGCTGTGAATAGCTTTATGCTCCCTACGGGACGGCACAGACAATTCAAGTGCTCGTTGAGTAGCTTTTATAAAACAAAATAAAAAAGGAAGATTGTTTTCAATACTTTTTCATGAAATGCCATAATAAACTGATGGCCTTTTATTTATTTTATTTATATATTTTTAATCATTATTATAATTGATATTATTATTATTATTATTATTATTTGGCCTGTACTGTGTTGGTACGACATTAAACCCAAGAATTTAGTTGATTCACAAATGTTTTAACTTAGCTGTACTCTGTACTTTAATTGTGTTTTATGGAAATACAGCGACCACTTTATTTCAGAAAATGCTTGAGAAAGTATGAAAGCGAAAGTAAGGAACCTTGTTCTTCCTTCTTGATACTTAAAAACTATTGCATTAAAAGATAAAAAATAAACTTTTCTTTTTCTTGATAATTATTTTAAAGTTATACTATGCTCATCTGAGGGCAACATTTTTTCATTGCACAAATTTATTGAAATCTAAGAGATTCTTCTTGAATAATTTGTATCAGAGGATTCGCAAACTATGTTTATGAAGCTGCATTTCTTATATTACTGGTCAAGACATTTTGGTTCTTTCCTAAAAAAAACAACTAGCTTACATGAAACTATGGTATTTATACTGTGTATAAAGTTTAAAACGTAACTCATTAACTGTTTTGTTTACATCTCGTATATCAATTCTATGTATTTTGTAGATATCAATATTATTTGAAAATTATATAGAACTTTAAAGTAAAAAATCAGTATTTTCAATGTTCGGGAAAAATACATACTCTTAATCACATTTTAAATTATTTGTCATAGAAGAAGCAAAATTTAAAGAATAATTACTTCGTTCTAAACCTAACTTAGAGAAATTTACGCTACATATATACACATTTATTTATAGAAATAAAATAAAATATTAAAGAATGCATCTAACAAGTACAATGTGTGTATACGAAGACAATTAATTTAATTAAACATTTAGAAAACAGAGCGTTGATAACGTCTTTTTACCCTTTCCCACCTGCTTTTATACTTTATTCATCTGCATTACTTCATTTTAAAACATGTGTCGTTTAATTCCCTCTCCAACGAGATTCACCAGGTAAACAAGTACACAGGAAGAAAACATTTTGCTATATCTAGATTGTAACGAGTTTCAATACAACATAATCTGCATGCTGTGGTGAAATGATTTCAAAGATTTTAGTAATGTTAAAATCCGTCCATCAGAACTTGGCTAACATGTTTTTTAAAAAGTCATTTACATACATTCCAAACAGATAAATCCTAATAAGCTTGCATAAATCAAACATACCGGGTATTTATGAATCTTTTAAGTACTTGAAACGCTTTCAAATCTGCAATATACAAAATAGTTGCTTAAAAGGTATGTAACTTGAAACATGTTCTAGATATTTGAGATTACATTCCATTGGTCATCTTGAGAAACGTTTTGACAAAAGCGTCATATTCACCTATTTTTTAAATAAAGATAAGATACAAGTGTGTACATCCTAAAAAATGTACATACAGTATTGCTCTGCACTTGAACAAAAATATATTCGCCAAAGCACACAACATATCTGTACAAAAAGTAGGGCGTCAAATAAATATGGATCAGTCACTATTTGTACATGTCATATTTTCAAAAAGTGTTAGCTCGATTGCGTTTACAAGTGCTGACCTTGTTTTTTATCAATCATTTTAAAGCGGTTTTGCGGTATATACATCGGGTTGTTAAGTAGGAAAGAACATACAATTGCTATAATCTTTGTGTGATGTGTATAGGAAAAAGACACAGTAATAAAGTTCATATTTTCAGTTTAGTATTCAGCAATACCAGTCACAGTGTGCATGCTACAAATGTTATCCAATGCTACTAAAGTCAAGTATATCCCTGGGAATCTATCATATACATTATAACTATGTCATTTATATATGAAATCGAAACGATATAATATTATAATAATTCCTCGTCATTTCTTTGTAATAATACTTAATTATCAATAACTGTTAAATTGATAACAATATTGCCCTTAATATAAAGATATTTGTTAACTAAAGATATAGTTTTAAGATAATAATATACTCCGAAGGAGAGCCTTTAATGTGTTATCTATACTTAGTGACTCAATTCTTGGTATCAAGCAGTATTTTCAGTTTCGATCGGGGGTTATACGATATTTTGCGGAAGTTTTATGCTGTAAATTTATTTGGGAAGTAAGATTTTAGTGTGTTTTTATCTTTTGTGGAGGTTCTACATTTATCTGAGAGGTAAGAGTTTAGTATTTTGATGATTTTTTGTTTGTTATTTTTTATTGTTACATTATTATTATTATTATTACTATTATTATAATTATTATTATTATTATTATTATTCTTTTCCTCCTGTCACACGATATATCTGTAAAATACAATTTAAGAATGTCATAAGATTTCTCAGTTGAATCGACAAATTAATACAACTACAAATAAAAAATAATTATTCACCATAATAAAAATTGGTCATTATACTGTCATATTGTTTAATTGGTTTAAATCATTATCTTGTAGACAATGGATGGAAAACTCAACTTGAAGCACAAAACTTCGATCATTAGATTTATTGGCAGTGGTGCTAAAGATTTTCATCTATTGTATAGCTTCACTCGTGATGGGGCTAATGCTACAACCTTTCATCAAAAGTGTGACAATAAAGGTCCAACTGTTACTGTCGTTTACAACACAAAGGATTCAATATTTGGGGGATACGTTGAGAAAAGTTGGACCTCGGACAGCACTGGAGCCTATGTAAAAGATGATAGGGCATTTTTGTTCCGCTTAGAGTCAAATGGCAAAATTGCTTTAAATAAGTTCCCTGTAAAAGCATCAGATAAGGCCTTTTATTGTATTGACACTCATGGCCCAGTATTTGGATCAGGCCATGATTTAGATGTTTTCAGCGACACCCTTACCGCTCAAGGAAATCAGTTTAGTCTAAACGGAGTCATGAAGATGGGAACCACCTATGACATGGGTGGAGTTGCACTCGATAAAGTAACGGATAATGTCAACACTGTATTTGACGTTGAAGTGTACAGCTTATCAGGTAGTTAATCACATACTTCATTTTATTTCAAAAGGACATAACATCAATATCACAAGCAATTAACAAAAAATGAAATGAATCTTATATAGTTTTGCATTGGATTGTTCTATACTTATTATGCGTATTTGATAAGTAGTATGAATATTTCAAAATATTGCTGAAATAGACATAGCAAAAAACAAAAATGTCTATGTTGTCATGTTTTCTTTAAGTTGTTTATACATGCCAAATTTATATTAAATTTGTATTTTCTTATATTTTAGAGTCACCATTAGTTAGTGTTTGGAGAGCATCGACTGGCTGGGAATTGGAGGTGAGTGTATAAACTTTGAGGTTCACCCTTACGTGCTTTAAGTGGTTATCTTTCTATATTCTTTATCATATTTGCAAGTTTTGATCGTCGATTTTGTTTTGCAAAGTATAAAAAACATTTTCTTTCGTAGGATTTGATGTTACTGAAGAAATATGCGGAATCATATGCGCCCCCACATGGACTTGACGTTGAAACGGCTAACATATTAGTGATAGGGCCAGTGGGCGCTGGTAAATCAAGCTTCTTCAATACTGTAGCGTCTGTATTCCGTGGCCATATCTCAGACCAAGCTGTTTGTGGAAGTGCAGAGAAAAGTATTACGTCAAAGGTAAACATAAATGATAAACCACTGTATATTTTTTGGGAGACTTCAAATAGACTTTTTCTGTTTTGAAAAGCAAGCAAACTATTTAACAGCACTATTCTTCTAACAGTTGTACGTGAACTGAATCGTCAATAAATTGACAGAATATGTGGAATGATATATGCAAACGTTTTTGCTTTTATTTACGACATACATATTATCTATCCATGACTGACTTAGGTATTTATATTTTGAATGTCATGACTCTTTTACTTGTTCATCACTAACCAATACCCTGCAACCTCATGTACAAATACTACTGAAACTAGTTATCTTACATCGAATCTCATATTGTAGTATCGCATGTATCGTGTCAGAAGTTCTCAAAAGCAAAAGCCACTGAAGTTTTGCCTCTGCGACACAATGGGTTTGGAGGAAAGCCAAGGAATAGATGCTCAAGAGCTGGGATACGTATTGGATGGTCACGTTCCAGATGGATATCAGGTATTAGCTTAGAAAACTTTAGCTTTACTAGTATCATTTGTTGGATTTACACACCATTATTTATCATTATTGTCCTTGCATATATAAAAGCAATATCTGATTCCATTCAAAATCGTAATGTCTCATAAAAAATCAAATGAAAAATGTGCTATTGAATATGAATTATAGCATTAAATAAATAGACGTATCTCAATTTGACAATCATATTGTATACTTGTATGTTTCAGTTTAATCCAACGACACCAATATCTAGTGAAATCCATGGTTTTGTCAAGTTTCCAACACTTGGACAGAAAATTCATTGTGTGTGTTTTGTATTTGATGGAAACACAGCAACCATTTTGTCGGAAAAAATGCTTGAAAAAGTGAAAAGCATGCAGGCAAAAGTTAGGCAGAAAGGTATTGCGTTTTTATTTATTTGTTTTTTTTAAATTTCATTTGAATATCACAATGAATTAATTTAAACAAAAAAAGTTATTCAACTCGACAATCAATTCGCAATTACTTTTACAAACATATTGTTGTCAACATTTAAATAAAAAGCAACCCTACATTCACATAATTTTGGTTAGCAGTATTGTGTAAGATTTCACATTTATTCAGAGATTTATAAATAAACTACCTGATGCTTGAAAAGAAAATTAAATCAAAAAGCATATGCCGCGTAAGACCTTCAGCTTCCATAACTTTGACTCTTAGTCTCGTAAGTTTGCGCATTGTAACTATTTATTTTTGTGACAAAAGTCGAACTTAAATCCTTTTAGGGCTTCCCCAGGCTATTGTGCTTACAAAGATTGATAACGTTTGTTCCTATGTCGAAGAAGATATAACGAAAGTCTATCAGAGTGAAACCATTAAGAACCTGGTCGACAAAGTATCTAACATCTTTGGTGTTCCTCGAAATTTCATTCTGCCACTGAAGAATTACGAAAAAGAGATAGATGTAGACACACACGTGAGCATTTTAGCAATGCATACACTGAAACGGCTTCTATTGTCTACAGAGAATCATCTCTTTAACTTCCTAGATACACTCGATGTCAAACAACAAGAAGTTGAAGGCCGCCATGGCAATTGATATAAAGTTAACCTATTACTACTCTCTATTACTCTCTCCCTCTCTCTCTCTCTCTCTCTCTGTAGATAGAACAGTACCCGTCAATAACAATTGGTCTTTCATCAAGGAAAGGACACGATTAATTTATAATTAAAGCAAACTTATCAAACTTTTAAGATTTTGATATCTGAGCTATTTTCAAAATATATATCTAAAATAATAGTTTGTTAATCGATAGTTGTTTATTATATTACATTGTATAATGTGCAAATTTTGTAAATTTCGACTGTAAGCTGATTAAACATGACGAAAGCCTGAAAACCCACGCATACGTGCTCTATCAAAAAAAAACCCCAAGCCCATACAAAATTATACAAAAGTACGTCTTTTGTGAGTATTACGAATGAGATGAAAGAATAAAAACATGATTTTTTCGACGTTATGAATATTTTACAAATAATGATATGAAAAGATTCCCCTTGTTTTAAAGGCATTTTACGCCCGACGAATTTATCAAACTAAAAAATTTAAACAACTCATGTACATTGTCCTGTCAAGTAAGGGGTTGAGATCTAGTGGTTATTGAATGCATAGAAATTTGGTGTAGCAGAATCGAAAGATATCTATAAATATGACATTGGATCGCTCATCTGAGATATATTGCTAAAACAGGTTATCATTTTTTAATGCAGAAGCAAGAAGTTTTTCTCCAAAGCAGATTATATAAAATTATATAGGTTGTTAAGACATGCTCACTGTATATGTTTTATATGTAATTCTATGTACGCAAGGCGTACCCTATACTAGGGCGGGACAATGTTTTACCCTAGAAGTATTTATTTCAGAAAATAATCACTTATTTTCAAAATCTATAGACAAATGCAATTCTTAAGGCAATCCAGGCTTAACCCTACATATTAGTCAAAAAACGAAGGCTGCGTGAACGGGAAGTGTTGATGCGAGCTGCAGGTATATCTATCTCCTTTCCCTTTTACTGGGGATACGGGGGCCTCTCCAAGAAAACGCAATGGTAAAACTGTGCGTTCTGGTACAAAATACAAAGGAATGAAAAATTGTGTGAATACACACATGTAGCACACATATTCAAAATGAAATACGCCTTGCATGCTTTGGTTGTCAGGATTAAAAAAATTTGGAGAATGTTTAACTCTTTTCATATTTACATAGCTTAAATGTAAATACACATTTGCAAACAAATCAGCTCAAATCAAATATGTGACTAAAATATTTCAAGCACTTGAATCTGGTGTAAATCTGTAATATATTTAAATGCAAAACAGATGCATAAAAAGTTAAATTTCAAATCATGTTAAATCACCTCATTATATTTTTGTGGTTACATCCAGAGTACTTCATGTTTTTTAAAGATTCACTCAACGCACATTGGTAAGGAGGAAACCCAATCTTAAACTTCCTTTACAAGATAGCCATGTATTTTTGTAGGTTTAGGTTCTTACTTTTATTCCCACACTCTATTTGATGTGATGTGACTTTTTAAAGATAGAAACAATTTATTTTGCCAATTAATTGACTCATATGGATTTCACTTGAAAGTATCACATTCGGTGCTACCGCATGTCGTGGGATCTTCTCCTAATTAATTCCACTCCAGTCAAAAATAATTATGTTTCCTATAATAAACCCTTGGAGATAAAATCCAGAACGATTGAAAAAAATCACGGTTCTATCGCCTCGCACTCGAAACGATAAGTATTTACCAATTTACTAATTGCACAAAAAGTAGTGGGCCAAACAATTGAATCAAACATGGTTTAAATTATCGTTTCGAAAAATGATAATTCACTGGCGTTTACACGTACTGATGTACGTTGTTCATACACAGTGATGGTTTGAAGAAGGAACAGTACATGTCTGATGACACAGACATATTAAAACATATTGTCTTCAACATCCCTCGAATAATGAAATGCTGCTGAGGAGACTGAATTGATTGGGAAACATAGATTATAATGTAAATCATTAATATATGGTTGTACAATGTAAAGATGACCTAGATGACCTAGTTAGAAATCATCTTAGTGAAAATCCCAAGTGTCATTGCGGAAATGCAGTTGAGAATGCTGAGCATTTTTTCTTTAAGTGCCCGAGTTATCAAACGCAAAGAATAACACTCTTTACAGAAACTAGGACGTTCCACCCATTGAATACAAATCTACTGTTACTTGGTAGTGATAGCCTAGCATCGAAAGATAATGAAGTTATATTTACTGCTGTCCATAAATTTATTAAAAATACAAATCGATTCACTTATACCTAAACATTAAACCTTTATTGTAATCAGTTATACATGTACTTAGAATATTATATAAGAAGTAATTACAAATACCCTGTACCCAATATAAAGTAAATGCACATAACAGCCTTAACGAAACCCGTGACACTTAGGGGTGGGGGTAGGTAATACTGAATCCTTAGATCATCCATATTTATCGATTGATTTCTATTGATTTCTATCTGTTCGATTACTTTATTGTATATTGTTAAAAATCGTTTCTTACGATTCATTCCATCAGCAATTATACACGATATACACTATGTTTATGTTATATGCCATTAAGTATTGAATATAGTTTTTTTCGTTTCATTATCTACCGGGGAGGGCCGACTGCTAATGTTGTAAGAACTTGAGCCCAACCCGTTTGCTTTTGCTGTTTAGAATACATATGAAATTTGTATCTGTATTGTATATACATGTATATAGCAATAAAATATGATTAAACTAAAAACAACATTTAGTTCTTGGTATCAAGATATGTATTTTCAGTTTCGGTCATTTGTAGGCAAACTAATCATTAGAAAGGTAAGTATTTATTGGAAAGGTCATCAGACCTCTCCAGTGTTCAGACTGACTGCTGGCGGCATCCATTTTTGCATATCTGATTGTAGTGAATGAATCTCATTTATAGCGTAAAATCATTAGGAGCAGTCTACAAAAATTGTTTTGCGCATGCTCCGTTTCAAAATACGACTTAACTTAAACGAAAATTTAACATCGAAGTGAACAAATCGGTACGTATGAAAATTGGAAAATATCATTTACGTCACTTAGCGCTACGTGGATGTTTCATTCCGTTTTAAACATTTAAATTGTATAAATCAATTACCGTATTGTTTTCTGAATAGCGTTTTACTATTCCATATTCCGACAAGTAAAATGGTTTCCTGCGGGGAACATTTTTAATGATATAAGATATTTCATTTATTAACTATTTTCAACATTGTAGTGTTATGGGGAACAACATATAGTCGATCAATATAGAAGAAGGTCTTTGGAAACTGGTGACCGTTGATGACCGGAGAAGGTCGAACATTAAACAATTATTTCTTTTTAAGAAAATGATTAAATAGACCTACCATTTGATGAATAATTCCGAGCAAACAAATAAAGTAAACACACAAGTTTACGCAGAAAATATCTTTATTTATTATGGCAGATGCCACTACGATCGAATATTCTAATATTGTAGATTTTCAGTATAAACAATTTATTGTCTGTAAAATTTGAGATACATATTAAAGAAACATTGATAATTTTCAAACACATCATTCAAGTTTTTCAACCTTAAACGGTAAAATATTTATAGAAAATTAGAAATATCACGTAATAGTTTTTTGTTCTAATTAGATGTAATTCTGCCTAATTCCTTAGAGGTAAATCCGTCACGTACCGGCAAACGGTATTTAGCCAGGTTTTCGAAAGGGTCAATTAACCAATCATGTAAGGTTTACAGATCACGTGCTCCTCCATGTACCGAAAACAGGTCACGTGCTCCATCATGCCTCAAAAGTTAAACGCGAACCAATACCCTGCGGTCTCCAGACCGCAGGGAATAAATAGTAACAGTGAACATTACAGGTACAATATCACCATGCACTATTATATGACCGAGTGAACCGTGTACCGACATTTTGCTGTTCCTTAAACTTTTTAACCGGTACGAATAAATAACGTAACGGAGGTTTTTTGGCGCAAATGGCACAAATTTTACTCAAGATTTTCCTCAAATATTAATTGTGGTTGGAAGCATGCAGCTTTATATACTGTTTATTCCAATCAAATGATATAAACATTTTTTATGTAAATCTGGGACTAAAATACTTTATGCCCGTTTTGGAAAATGTAGAGGAAATGTTTCCACATACTTACCAAAACATTAATCGAAAATTTGCTTATTGAATTTTACAAGTAAGTTTTATTTTGATACTACCTTTATTATATATATGTGTGATCATTTATTTTAAATTTAGTTTGATGACATAACATAAATTATTCCCTTTGTAGAAAAAGTATTCCTTAAGC